GGGCAGGGGGGCTGTGGCCGCAGCGCTCGGGGACCAGCCACCTCGGGCCTCGCGGGAGGTCAGGAGGGAAGCGGGTGGCGTGCGGTCAGCTCCGTGGACGGAGGGTGAGAAGGCGGAGGGTCAGGTGAGCTGTCACCTGCTCAGGGTCGGGAAGCAAACGTCTGTTTGTCTAAGTAGATTATTCAGCGTATGAGTCGATGTCATGACGCACGTTAGCTCTTGCTCCTAAGTCACTAACGAATTCCCTTCCTGTGCAGGGCGCTCTCTGGAGATTCAGGTTCTCTCAGCTGAAGGGATCCTCCGACGACGGGAAAGGCCGCCTCAAGCTGCTGTTTCAGGATCTCGACACCAGACAGATCGAGACGAAGGTAGAGACGGGGTTCACTCTGCCCGTAAACCACCAACGGGGTGAGAGCTTCCACCACCACACACACCTGCACATGCGCTGAGAACACACGTGCACACTCAGGCACACACAGACACACGCACACACGGGCACATGCACACATGGACACACGCACACATGGGCACACGCACACACACACGCACACATGGTCACACGCACACACAGACACACACGCATGGACACGCACACACAGGCACACGCACACATGGGCACACGCACACATGGGCACGCACACACACATGGTCACACGCACACACAGACATGCATACACGGGCACACGCACACNGCACACACACATGGTCACACGCACACACAGACATGCATACACGGGCACACACACACAGACACATGCACACATGGACACGGGCACACACACATGGGCACACGCACACATGGTCACACACAGAGACACACGCACACATGGGCACATGCACACAGAGACATGCACACATGGGCACAGACACACACACAGACACACGCACACATGGGCACATGCACACATGCACACATGGTCACACACACAGACACACACACACATGGGCACATGCACACATGGGCACACGTGTGCACAGGCACACATGTTCTATCAGCGGATGCCGTGAGCTCTGCTGCGCGGAGACGCACGTGCCAGAGAGAGACACGAGCGCCAGCCTGTGTTGGTCACGAGGAAGTGAGGGCTCGGACTAGACGGTCAGGACTCCAGGCAGCCAGACCGGTGCAGCCACGTCATAGCCACCTTAGTCGAGTGGCCCTGTCTCACTCCCTGTGTCCTCGTGACCAAGTGACTCTAGAAGCCAACAGAGGAGAGTTTGCCGAATGTGGGCTCACGTGTTTTCCGACATTCACTCTGCACACATTCCACTCTGTTCCTGCAGGAGCTGGAGTTCCAGGACCTCGCGGCGGTGCTGCACTGCGTCCACGCCTTCCTGGCGGCCAAGGTGGCCTCCCTGGACCCCGGCTTCATGGACGGCCAGAGCGCGGCCGGGAAGCACCTGCACAGCAGCTGAAGCGCTCAGCCCGGGGCTGAGAATCCAACTATTTTCTTAAAAAATGAACCTTTCCTGAACAAAACTGCACCTTCGTGGGGTTTTATAAGGAGCCTATAGTTGTGATACCAATAAAGTCCTTCCCCTGTTTCCAGCCACGGTCGTCCTTATTCGAGCCCACGGGTCCGCACACGGCGCAGGCGCGGCCGTGGTTGAGGCCCAGGGACCCCGTGGAGCACCGTGTCCCCATGTCCCCCGAGTCCTGCGGGGCGTGAGCACCGCATGCGCCAGGTCCCTCACGGTGACACCTGGGTGCCCTTCCACGGAGTGTGAGAGAACCGAGCACTCCCCACTTTCCTCTCCCTTGGAGGGAAAGCGCCCCCTGGGCGGGGCTGGTCGCCCTCCTAGTCCCCGGAGGCTGAGCCCGGCTGGGCTGAGACACTGACGCGCGTGGTGAGGGTCCCATGGTGGCTCCGAGTGCCACCTTTTATAATATACCAGCTATTTACAACCAACGGTTTTTATGTTTAAAAACTTACCCTCCTTTTTAGACGATGTCTATATACGTCTCACATGTATTTTACATATAAGATTCCCGTTTACATTTTAAGGGCTTCCATGGAAGTGTTTAAAGTGAACTTTCAATAATATTCCAAGAGAATGGTGTTCACAGGGCGTCCACAACATTTCTTTGCAGAAATGTGATTATATTATTATAACTCAAGCTTAACTCACATGTTAATATTAGTAGCATTAGGAACCTGAATGGTTTGATCTCCAAATTTAATGGATTCTCATTTTTCCCTGTTATGCCAAAGAGCCTAAATGTGCTCAAAAACAGAGGCCTATCTGCACTGGAGTGAAGTAATTGTGGTTTGGTTTTGTTTGATGAAGAAAACATTGTTTTAAAAAATGTACCTTTACTGGATAATAATGGAAAGATGGTGTCAGGTCAAAGCCGAGCAAAGTGAAACACTTCTGGTGGTGACGGGAGCACCGGGCACATTTCTGAAAACACCCGAAGGCGGCTTCTGTAGCACTTTCCTGGAACACGGACTCTTGGAAACGGCCGAGCAGACGGCACTCGGTGCAGCTGGGGGAGAGGGTGTGCATTTTGTTTGTGCCCAACAGTAAGTTTATACCACAGGAGGACTTGAGAATATTAAATAATGTGTATTTTCCTGAGAAAACTTGTCCTGTAAGAAACTGTTCCTTTGAAACTGGAATTCGGAGCAAATGCAAAATAAAAGGAGCACCCACCCTGCTCCGCCAGGGAAGCTGGTTTCCTGCAGGTCGCGCCACCTGGGCTCGTGCAGGGACGAAACCCACCTGCAGTGCCGTGTGGTGCCTCCCGCGCAGACTGGGGGGGTTTCCGAGCCCCGCGGGGTGGCCTGTGGGAAGCACCTTCCCTCTGTGGTCGCCCCTGTGGCCCACGAGGGGCGCTCTTGGGAGTCGCTCCCAGGTGGTCCGTGGTGTCCATGCCGCTCAGCAGTCCTCTCTCCCAGGGCTCAGATGCCGAGATGTGAGGCTGGCGATGGCTCGGTGGGGATGCCCCACGGCTTCCTTTCATGAGCAGGGATTTTCTGAGCTCTCCACAAACTCAAAGTGAACCCAGACGGATTCGGGGAAGGACAAGGCCCGGCCACGGCATGGTTTCTGATCCTCTGTCCTCGGGACAGATGAGATCAACGTGAGCTTCTCCACCGCAGCTCTCTCCTGACCCAGAGGAAGATTCGGAAGTTAGCACAGCTCTGGAAAAGCCCAGAAGACAGAGGTGGGCCCGCAGTTCAGGGTCCTGGGGTGAGTGCCCATGGCCCCGAGTCTATTTTATTCAGAAAATGGTTAAGTCACCTTGTCCGGAGCGTTGCTGACCCTGCGGCCTCCGTGAGGCATGGTCTGGGCATGGTCCAGGCTGCACCATTGGAAACTCAACTGGGGCTGGACCCACGTCCGAGTTGGCTCTCAGCAGGCGAGGCCGAGGACATCGTGGTAAAGGTGCGGGTGGAGGTCCCCGTCTCCCCTTGGGGGCGTTTCCTGGGCTGTGTCTGAAGCCCGGTGGTTTCCAGGCTTTCTCCCCAGAAGCACATGCGTGCCGTGCCTGCCCCCAGGACCTCACTCGGTGTCAACGCCTCGTCGTGCCTTTACTACAACTTTCCCTCCGGGAAACCTGCATCAGATAAAGTCCTCAGACCCCAGTCTCCTGAGTCAACCTGAAAGAAGAAGGTCAGACGTGAACAGCGGAAAAACCAAGCACAGGGGGCCTTGGAGAGAGAACTCGGGGCAGCCATGCGTTCGGTGAGGTCACGCGGCAACGGAGCGGCCGAGTCAAAACCTCTGCAAACAGAATCGTCCACGCTTGTTGACAAGTGTCAACAAAGCGTCTTGTGACTTCACTGATTCGAAGAGACGTCAAGCGTGACTTCGCAAAAGGTCGAGTAGAAAACCTGCGTGTCCTTCACTTTATTGAAAACACTGAAAAGTAACTTTTCCCATGAAAACTCGTTTGTCCCATGATTTTCTAAGCCGGTCGCCTAATATAGAACAACAGGTCGAGTTCGTCCTCAGGTGTAACGTGACCGTCTGTCTGCAGTGTTTGTGGCGACCAGGACGCCTCTCCACACACCGGAGCTCGTCATGAAAGGGAACGTGAGGTCGGTTGTTCCGGTTTCCTCGTGTCCCGTGTTCAGCCATTTACCCAGGAGCTCAGGCGACACCACCCGGCTGGACCTGGGTGGACGGTCCAAGGGCAACCGATGGAGCAGATGGTTCTAGGAGAACAGGTCTCATCTGGGGGAAAAACATCTAGAAAAGATAAAACTTCTTGGATAAGTGGATTATTTTGTGTAGAAAACTAAAGTCAGTCTTAGGTACATGAACACAATCTGACAGTGTAGCAGCTTCTCCACTCGAGACAAAGGACATTTCAGCCCGTCGATGCCGACGTGCTGACCGGCGGCGGGAGCAGAGCCTCGTTAGGAAACCACGTCGTCTTTACCTCCCGACTTCGGGCTGTTCTCGGCGACTTCACACAGTCGTTTGTTATATTTTGCCCAGAATTTATAGTTGTTTTTTAAATTTTTTTACCCGTCGGCCCTGTTAATTTTCCTCTTTTTCACCCCCTGCTCCCCTTGGCAGCCTCAGCCCGTTCTCTGCACCCGGGAGCCTGCGTCTGTTTTGTTTTCCCTTCGTTTCGTTTTGATTTTCAGGTTCGACGTATAAGGGAAATCACACGGCATTTGTCGAGGTCCATCCGTGTCATTGCAGATGGTAAGGCTTCGCCCTTCTTCGTGGCTGCGTAATATTCCATCGCACGCACACCACACCTTTATCCAGTCGCCCGCCGACGGGCGCCGAGGCCGCGTGAGGGTCGGGCTGTCGCAGGTGGAGCGGCAGTGAACCAAGGCGCCTGCGGCTGTGAATTTGTGCTCTCACTTTCTGCGGGTAACACCCAGCAGTGAATCGCTGAGTCCTGTGGCCCCTCCACACTGCTCTCCCGGGGGCGGCACCAGCTACGTCCCCACAGCAGTCACAGGGTCCCCTCCCCATGCCCCCCAGCACCTGCTTGTGGGTTTTCTGACCCGTCCTGACAGGCGCGGGGTGGCTCTCGCTGGGTGTCAGTTTCCGTCTCGGAGGATCAGTGACGCTGAGCATCCTTCCTGTGTCTGTCGGCCACCCATGGGTCCTCTGCCTACTTTTCTTTATGAAATTCCAAGAACCAATGACAAGTAACTTTTCTAAATGCCTAAAAAACCTTGAAGAAAAGTGTCAAAGGTATTAAATTCAAATAAGAATTTACTGAGCGGGGCGGGGGTGGAGGCGGGAGAGGGAACGGGCTAAATGGTGATGGAAAAAATATATAGTTCATTCTATAAAAAAAAGAGGTTCCTGAGCAGGAATGTTAGGCGTCTGGGGTGTGGGTGTGGGGCCCGCGGGGCTGAGATGAGCCCGCAGGTGCCCTGGGAAGCAGCTAAATGTGGGCAGATCTGTTCACTCACCTCGGTCCCCTGTTTTCCTGGAAGAGACAGAATGTTCTGGGACACTGGTATTTACAAAAAAGGTCTCTGTTGTTTTGTTTTCTCATTTCGTAAGTAGATGGAACCAGCACAGAGTGTCACGGGCACTTGGCTCCAGCGAGCCTGTGAGTGGCTCTTGCTGCTGGAAGCTGCCGGAAGCTCCGCCACGTCCGACAGGTTGTGTGGACTTAGGAGGCGTTGGCTCCAGTCTGGCCTTAGCGGTGCCCCTGCTAGTCACGCCTCCCTGGGACAGTGTCACCCTGGCCAATGGGCGGCCCCCACCCCAGGGAGGCTTTGGTACCCCAGCACCCACGGGGTGACATTCTGAACAAGGTTCCCGAGTGCTTTACTTCAACTACGAAGCTTTTGGAGAGCAAACACCACAGGCAGAAAGTGGAATTGTGCGCGTGTTCCCGCGGGAACGTGGCCTTGGTCCGCGGGGTCTGGGGCGTGCTGGTTAAACCTACCTAGAAATAGGACCAGCGGGGAGCCCTGTTAGGTCCCTGCCGTGATCCCCGCTGGCCCTGTTGCCGCCGCGGCTGTGAGAGGAAGAGACAGAGTCCAGTGCTCAGGACCAGCAAGCACACTCTTCCCGCTCCCTTTAAACTTGAGAGTTTATTTTACACACAAATATTTTTAGCATGGCCAGTGCTCTGTACACTGTCATTACACTGAATTAATAGGGATATACTTTTCTAGAAAAAAAATGTTTTTATTGATTTTGAGAGAGAGGAAGGGGAGAGGGAGAGGGAGACACCAGTGATGAGGGTCGTCGACTGGCGGCCTCCTGCGAGCCCCCTGCAAACTCCCGTCACCTGCAGAGGGGCCTTTCCAGTGCCGATGGTGACGCTGTTATGCTCCAAAGCGCCTCCGGGCCTGTGGTCTGAGATTCGGGGCCTGTGCGTCAGGACACGTCATGTTTGAGAAACTCCTGAAGAAGAGAAACCGGGTGATTTCATAAGAACCCTGAGGTCAGGTGGGAAACGGGGTTCAACAGGCAGCATTCCCAGGAAACTGGAGAATGGGCTCATTCGCCTCTCAGGGCCAGGAGACCGAGGCTCGGGGGGACCGAGGCCTGGGGACGCTGAATAAATAACACCCAGCGTCGGGGCCCTCAGAGCTGTCCCCGGGGCAGCCCCGACCCGGCCGGGTGACCTCTGCACCCAAGTCCTCTCTTCATATTTAACCCGGAGAAGTAAGAGGGGAGCATCCGGTGTCCTGTGGACTTCAGCCGCTTTCCGCTCAGGAGCGTTTTCTTTCCCTCCTAACTCGTGGCCAGAGGCTCAGCCTCTCGGACCTTGTTTCTGACCAGCACGCAGACGCCCGGGGCAGACGCAGCCACTCGAGCTCGGCCACTTGAGTGGGTGACGGAGCGCAGAGCCGGCTTATAGGGAGGGCAGCCAGGCCCTGGGCACGGCCGAGGCTCCCGGTTCAGACCGGCCACGGCCACAGGAGCTCCCGGCCTCACGCTCGCCTCTGCGGCTCCGAAGAGGAGGAAAGGTCAGGTTGCAAAACGTGCCATTTCCAGCCTTGGGAGAATCTCACCCTTGAAACCTGTAAAGTGGTCCAGGGGAGGCCGTTCTTTGGGCCGCAGGGCAAGTATGGGGCGGGTCTCTGAGCACCGCTGAGTGATGGGTGGCGGGCAGTGTTTCCATGTTTCCAGGACCTCGGCTCGGGGGTCGGGTCAGTTAACAGGTCGTCCCTGTGGGAAGTAGAACTGATTGGTTTTGAACCAGCTTTGTGACTCTGAGATCATTTTATGCGCAGGGGGAGGAATGCTGACAGAAACTCATGTGCATTTAGGAAGTTTATTTACCAGTTTTATGATGGCTGAAGTCCTTCTATTAGTCATTTTTTCTGCATAGAGTTTCTATGGGAAACCGATTTATTTGATTCCCAGGACTTACTCCCAGCAGCTTGACACGATTTGACGTCAGCAGGACGCAGCGTCGGGTTGCTGCTGAGCGGTTCTGCTGACTGTAGCTGCCGAATTTGCCAGGTTCGTTTTCAGATACAGTGGTGCCTCGGTTTTCTAATGTGATCCGCTCCGGAAGACTGTTCGAGCCCTGAAATGTTCCAAAACCGACAGCTGGGCCTCAGGATCTTGCCCTCAGCGGAAGCCGTGTGGCATGTTCGACTTCCGAGGAGTGTTCGAAAACCGAAGCATTTCCTTCCGGGTTTACCGCATTCGTAAGCCGGAATGTCCGTCCACGGAGACGTTGGAAAACCGAGGTACCACTGTAACCAGGACCTGCTCGGCACCGCGGCCCAGGCGTGCGGTCTTCTCGGCTCAGGAAGCAGCCTGCCCGCCAGCTTCTGAGAATCGGTCACCATTGTAGGAACAAGTGAGGGTCAGCTAATAGAAAGTCTAACCACAAGCTGCCCCCAAAGGCAGCTCCTGTTGGCCTTGCCCCTGACCGGGGGTCTTTATTTACGTGACTAGGATGCGAGCGCTGGCCGTCCTGGGCATCACGCTGGTTGTGGCCTGCAGCCAAGTCATCTTCATTCTCATGAGGGGCAGGGACCTCCTCTGGGGTAAGTGACACACAGAATGTGGTCCTTGGACCCTGTTCTTACAAAGCCCCTGTTCTGGTTCCGGAGCAGAGAGCAGGCGTGGCCGTTGGAGGCAGGTAAGGCCTACAGGACACCCCGGTGTTCTCTTCTGCGTCGACAGGAAAAGAACAGTCATTCTTGAGTTTAAAATAATTAAAACAATTCTGGAAAATAACTGATTTTCCTGTGATGACATGAGAGAGCAGGTCCACTCTACCTGCTCAGCACCTGGAAAGGTATTTCTCTGGGAGCAGCTGCTTGCTCCTTGACTGTAAAGTCCCTTTTCGTTAAATGACTTCTTTGATGTGTTTTGGAATCAGGGTGTTGCAACACCAAACTTGGTTACGAAAACAGAAAAATCACATCAAACTCTGCTTCTGGTTTCCTAAAATATACATAAATAAGAAACAAGAAGGCCCAAACTCCAAGGAGAGATTGTCCCCAGAGGAGGGTGGGAGTCTGTCGGGTGGAAGCTCCAGCTGCCAGGCTCTGTAATGCCCACCTCTCTGGGAGGCTCAGGCTTCTCTGGAAGCTTCCGGGCATCCACACAGCCTGGCACAGGCCTCCCCCAGGACTCAGGGCTCCCCAACCGTCCCCCAGGGACTGGCAGGTGCTCTGAGTCCTTCTGGCCCACGTCCACACCAAGCTATGCCTCCTGCTGGGAGCCTGGAGACTTCCAGTTCTACTGAACACTGAGGCCGTGTGATCACAGACTTGCACGCTCCTTAAGAAAGCGCCAGGCCATCCAAGACGTCAGGAAGCAGGAGGCGGGCGCTGAGGTCGGACCAAGCAGGGGGGTTCTGCTCCTGCCAGTTACTAACGGGGGCGCTTTGGGCTCCTTCCCGTTGCTTATGTGTGAACTGGACAACCATCCGTCATAGTGACTACATGTGAGAGCATCCGTGAGAGACTCCCCTCGAAGCCTGGGGCGCACCGTGTGGCCAGTACAGGAAAAGTAGAAACTAACCCACATGTGAAAGTAGCTCAGGAAAAAGGGGCCCGTCTCCCCCACACAATAAGTCAATCATTTCAGTACCTGGCACAGGACAGGTGTCCAGGATATATTCTGTGAATTCATGAATCTGTCCTCATATTGTTGTTTAAGCTCCTAGTTCTATAAACTACAGTAACAAAAGTCAGAGGTCACAGAGCCGTTTATTACAAAATTGTCACGCAGAGAGCGATTGGACAGAATAAACTATCTTTGCACTACTTGTTTTAGTTTTTTAGGTTTAGAAATCAAATTGTTTTTTAAAAATCAGTAAATGTGGTATTTATAGCTTTGCTAAAGCAATTTTTTATTATTTCCCCAACTGAGAAGTGTGACTTTTTGCTTAAACTTTTAGTAAATATATAATTAATGCACAACACAGCATCCAAATAAAATGCTGCACTTTGGAGCCTATTTATTGTTAATTGGGATGTTTTGAAGCTGGCTTATGACTTGTTTACTTGGTAAATTAATTATTTAGAAAATATTATCTCACAGTGTTTCAGTTTTATGTTCTTTAATATGAGATTTTTTTTTCCAGTTGACAGCAAGCCAGCAATAGCTTTGAAACAAAATAATTGCTCACTGATAAAAATTAGGCTTCAAAGAAAGTTTATCAAATTTCACCACCACTGCCAGAATTTAAATGGAAATACCACTTGGGTTTTTTGTGTGAGTTTGGGTTTGCATCCACTGTGCTCACGGACTGTGTGAGGCAAACAATGGAGCGATCTCTGTCCATGCCCAGAACCCACCGGCACGGGGCACGCAGACCAGGTCTTTGCAGGACCTCGACGGTCATCTGTAGGCGGAGCTGGTCCTTGGGCTGCTGGCCCATTTCACAGCTCAGAAAACAGAGGCCCGGGGCTCAGAGATGCGGAGCTGAGGCCAAAGTCTAATGTTCGTGCAACGTTAAGATTTATGTGCAGCTATCGTTATAACAAATGTTTCCACGGTCCTAGCTGTTAAAATAAGATGCAAATGAACAGCAGGAAGCAGAGGCACTGCCTGCAGACGGGGAGACGCGGGAAGCAGCGTAACAAGGGCATTTGTTGGAAACGGAAGATGCCGGCAAATTCATTCCAGTTCCGTGGACTCTGCATCAGTCCCATGGAACCTCACATTTTAACCTAGAAGTGGGATTGCAACATTGTTTCCATCCGTCTGGGCTGCTCCAGCAGAACCGACACTGGGGACTGTCCGGT